CACCATCATCACAAGCATCTTCATCCTTACCATCAGCATCAGCAGCATCGTCATCATCATCAGCAGCAGCACCATCATCATCATCATCATCATCATCGTCATCATCATCAGACTCATCAGCATCATCCTCAGCATCATCATCAGCAGCATCATCATAATCATCATCATCCTCAACCTCCTCCTCCTCCCGCCCGCCCGCCCGCCCGCCCTCCCTCCCTCCATCCCCCCTCCTCCCTCCTCCTCCTCCTCCTCCTCATCATCATCATCCTCCTCATCCTCCTCCTCATCATCATCATCGTCGCCACCAGCATCCATATGGTGCCATCAATATTCTCACCATCACCACCGCCAACACCATCATCACCATCGCCACCACCACCATCATCGTCCCTGCCCGCGCACCCCTCCCTTCCCCCCCTGTCCCTCCTCTGCCCTCTCCCCCGCCGCAGCGGTGGCCCAGGGATCTCGGCAGCGGGAGGGGGGGTCCCTGGCGGTGCGCGGCCGCCTCCTCATGGAGGGCCCCGCCCACCGCTCCAGCGCGTAGCCGGTGCGCGCCTGCCGCAGGGGTTCGCCAGGGGGGGGCGTCGGGAGTGGCCGCCGCGGGACGGCGCGGTGGGGAGATCTCGGCTAGACGTAAGTCGGGCATGTCCCACTACAGGAGGAATGTTCAAAAATGTTTGGGGATGATGTTTGTACTGCTCTTGGCTATGTTTGATTTTGTCTGACTATGTCTGATTTTTCTTCCAAAAGCCGCCTGTGGGAGGGCATGTCCGACCTAAGGCTGTACGTAGGAGTCACCTTCCGCCAGAGTGACCTTTGGTGCGGGCACCGATGGGCCCCCAGATGGCTGAACGCGACACGATAGCTGCAGCTTGCGTGCTCCAGTTCGGCCTCCCCGCGGCCCCCAGAAGTCACGCACCAAAGACCGCTCCTGCCTGGGGTCACTCTTACGCGTGGCCAAAGATCGGCTGCACATGAGAGCCCAGACATGGTTGCGTGAGGTGTTCGGCCTTTTTCGGCCTCTGGGGACCCTCGCCTGGTCCGGGGACCGTGAAAAGCTGGCTCGGCATGCCCTCGGAGCAGGGATCTTCCCCCTCCGACCCGGACGTCGGGCGCTTCGGTGTGGTTCGATGCGTGGGCCCCCAGACATCCCAACCCCGTCCCCAGGGCAGTTTTTCATCCCGAGTCCCTTTTGACGGTCCCGTGCCCGAAATTGGACTCCCCGGGTCAAAATGACGACGAACCGACCGCCTCGATTTGTTTTAGGCGACGGTTGTCTGAGGAGGGAATGCTGATTGATCGACGCGAACTTGACAGGGCACCGCGGTTTACGCTTGGCGCTGGCTTGGCAGCGACTTAGCGTGCTGGTCCGCAGAAGACCAGTCAAAGAGGCGGGCGTCGAGGAGGAGGAGGAGGAAGAGGAGGCAGACAGCAGGAGAACGGCAAGATGGTGGAGGGCCCGGAGGGGATGGGGAGGGGGTGCTGGAATACGAGGAGGAGGAAGAGGAGGGGGAGGAGAAAGAGGAGGAGCTGCAGGAGTATAATGCAAGGAGGAGGAGGAGGAGGACGACGACGACGACGAGTAGGAAGACAAAAAGAGGAGGAGGAGGAGAAGGAGGAGGAGGAGGATGAGGAGGAGGAGTAGGAGGGGGAGTTGGAGGAGGAGTAGGGGGGGGAGGAGGGGGAGCGGGAGCAGGACGAGGAGGAGGAGGAGGAGGAGGAGAAGGAGGAGGAAGAGAGAGAGAGAGAGACAAGGACGAGGAGGAGGAGGTGGTAACCACAGGCTCGGAGCTCCCGTCGAATTCCAGCTGCTGGTGGGCACCACCCCTTCCATCCGATGGTACAGGGCCAGAGGGCCGCGGCGCTGTTGCCGCTGCCACAGCATGGGACCGCCATCCACCATTACACGCCGGTCGCTGAAAGTAGGTATTTCTGGATCTCGAGATCCTAATATACTTTGGGCGCCTTCCTACTTCAAGGATCGAAGGGTTTCCTTCTTCCCTCCTCTTCAGAGGGCGGGCGGATATCAACCTACTTCAACGCTTTTCTACGTCACGTCTCTACCTACTTCTTCCGACCAGCGGGCACTCTATATATATATATATATATATATATATATATATATAATATATATACATATGAATACTTCTCTCCTCTCCCAACCCCCGACAGTGTACCAGTTTGCGTCCGCCCGTTCCACGTCCGACCTCACACACAGGTTCATATTATGATTGATGCTTCACGGCGGCTTGTTCGATCGGAATTCTTTCGGTCCTTCAAGAATGTTGCTCCGCTGCAGTGCTGGCCACATGTCAGTATCGGAGCGTCGCTCCCGTCATTCAGAGGGGCGCTCTCTTCCCAGCGGGGGTCGTTCTTCTCCTTTCCCCTCATCCGACTTTCATTGACCCGCCCGCTGCTCCTCCTCCTCCTCCTCCTCATCCTCTTCCTCATGTTCCTCCTTCTCCTCTTCCTCCTCCTTCTTTTCATCTTCCTCCTCTTCCAACGTACATAGTCCACCATGCTTACGGCGCATCACACGATGTGGTCTCTAGGACACTCCAGTCGGCGGATAGAACAGGATTCAGCGCAACGAGGACAGACGGGAGGCAGGGGTAGACTGTCAGGTATGGCCCAGGTGCACCTAGCGTGTCCCCCCGCCCCGCCCTCCACCTCAGTATCCTTTCTTCACTGCGGTCTCCCCCACCTCATCCTCCTACTCCCCTTGCAGGAAGCCCCTGCTACCCATCCTAAACCTCATCATCATCCTTGTCCTCATGATCCCTCTCTCCTTCCTCTCACTACTCTCCCCATCCTGCTCGTGCTTGTCCTCCTTATCGTCATGATCACCATCATCATCAGCAGCAGCATCGTCATTACCATCCTCAGCAGCAGCATCATCAGCAGCATCATCAGCAGCAGTATCATCATGGCAAACTGGTGTGTACCGTACGTCGCTGAGATGTTCCAAGACAGCCGCTTCGACAACGTAAGGGCGGGGACTCGCAAGACTGCTGCTCAGCTGGCCACGGAGATCTGCGCCAGAGCATGGCAGCGCGGTGAGCCGCACCGCCTGCGCTGACCGTCGTGGCTTCAGTCCCTCGCCAGTACGCAGAGGTGCATGGCGGCCATCCTTCACAACGCGGAGCACAGGTCGGTGAGGAGGTGGATCAACTGCCCAGGTCGCCTAGGGCAGCCTCGGCCCACGGGACCGCCCCGCAGGAACGCCTAAAGGAGATCATCATGCACCACATGGGCAAGATCAACGGAGTCGTCATGTTCTGCTGGTGGGACCTCGGCGGCACGCACTGCTCACCGAGCCAGCTGGAAGGGCTCGGCAGAGGGTACCGGCCGCGAGGAACCAGCGGGGATACAGACAGAGATGAAGACAGAAAACGTGAAGAAGGCCACGGTGGACCTGCATCGTGCCGTGGGCTCCTGCCTGAAGCGCCTGGCCCCAACGTAACGCTGGACGCAGCGCCAAACAGAGTCATGATGCAGGCTGTCACCAGTCCTGCGACGACGACGACCCCGCAGGCTGCGATAGCTGCTGCGGCCCGCCCGGCGCCTGCGGCGCAGCTCGGCGACGAGGCAAGCGGCCAGCGAGGCCAGCAGGGCGAGCACACCGACAAAGGCAGCGGCCGCAACCCGCAGCGCAGCCAGCAGGCGCTGGGCAGCGCCGCGGTGGGGGGCGAGATGCCGATACTCCACCGCGCAGAGGAGCTCCTTGCTGACGGCCTGCGACCCCAATGACAGCGTGATCGGCAGCAACAGTAGGTACCGCATCCAGTGTTTCCTCGCAGGTGGGCTCCCCAGAAGGCGAGAGGACGTTCGAGGCGCCGCGTCACCTGCAGCTGGGGGCCCCCGAGGCGGAGCGGCTTCGGCCAGGGGAAACGTGTTGCTGGGCCTCATCCGGGGCCCAGGGGACGGGGGTCAATGCAAACGGGGTCAGTCAAATCGCCGGATCTTGCAGGGTCCTGCAGGATCTTGCAGGATCCTGCAAAGCTTGACTGAACCGAGTCTGGGATGACCCGTGTCAGTAGATCCCCGACACATGTGTGAATTCAACATTGCCGTTTGGTCCATCCTGGGGGCCGAGGCGCCTCTCATGCTCACCGCTACCGACCTGGTCGCCGCGCGCTTCGTCGTTTTGAGCCACGCGGGCTTGCGCGCGTGGCAGGCTGGTCCCACTCGGCCGTGGCTAGGCGAGCACGCCCGGCGGACCTGGTGGCTGACCAAGGTCCCGACCATCATCATCATCATCATCATCATCATCATCATCATCATCATCATCATCATCATCATCATCATCATCATCAGCATCAGCATCAGCATCATCATCATCATCATCATCATCATCATCATCATCATCATCATCATCATCATCCGCAGCAGCAGCAGCATCAGCATCAGCATCAGCATCATCATCACCACCATCAACATCGGCAACAGTAGTATCAGCATCATCATCATCATCATCATCGTCATCATCATCATCATCGTCATCATCATCATCATCATCATCATCGTCGTCATCATCATCAGCCTTTTTCACATCGTCGTCGTCATCACCATCATCATCAGCATCAGCATCAGCATCATCAGCAGCAGCAGCATCATCCCCATCCCTATCCCGATCCTCATCCTCATCTTCATCCGCATCATCATCACCGTCCCTTGTCATCCCATCCCTCCTGTCTTGGGCAAGCCGCCGGCGCTCCAGCCCGTGACCCCATTCCTCCTCCTCCTCCTCCTCCTCCTCCTCCTCCTCCTCCTCCTCCTCCTCCTCCTCCTCCTCCTCCTCCTCTCCTAGTCCTCCTCCTCCTAGTCCTCCTCCTCCTCCTCCTCTCCTCCTCCTCCTCCTCCTCCTCCTCCTCCTCCTCCTCCTAGTCCTCCTCATCCTCCTCCTCCTCCTTCTCCTCCTTCTCCTCCTCCTCCTCCTCCTCCTCCTCCTCCTCCTCCTTCCTCCTCCCCCCCCCGCGCCGAGCGAGGCCACCGGGGCGATGGGCCAAAGCGCCTGCGCCCAGTGCCAGCAGGACGCCGCCACGGAGGCCGCCGCGGGTGGCAGCGAGGCCGGCCGCCCCGACCGCCCGCCGACGCCCCGGGCGGCCAGCGGCCGCGAGGAGGCAGGGGACGGAGGGAGTGGCAGCAGGAAGAAGAGGGGGCAGGAAAGAGGCACTCGAGGAAAAAATCCGCCGGCCCCCTTGTGGGGCCACCAGGCTGTAGGGCGAAGGTTCGCAGTTTCCGGTGCCAGTTGCAGCTTCCAGTTTCCACTGTTACAGTTCTGCGTCCTGCTGCTGTTACAGTTATGCTTCTTGCTGCTTACTGTTCCTTGTTGATGGACCGCGCGAGGGGGGGAGGCCCAAAACAGGCATTTTTACCACGCCCTGAGCGTGTGCTCTGAATTGCTGGGGTAGGTAAAAATTGACACCCCTCACTCAAATCGGCGGGGTCAGGGTCCAAAAACATAGGGGATTTGCCACATTTCTGAAATTCGGTGGCACCCCTCACGCAGATCCATAGGGTCAGCGTCCAAAAACACAGGGGATTTGCCACATTTCTGAAATTCGGCGGCACCCCTCACCCAGATCCGTAGGGTCAGGGTCGAAAAACAAACAGGTCCCGACACTGCTTCACGGCGGCGCCCAGACCTCATGATTTAGCTTTTGCATCTCCCATTATCCGAGACAGGGGGCCGGCGGCATGGGGCGAAGCCCTTACCGATAAAATAAAAACAAAAACAAAAAAAACAATAAACAAAACGCCATAAACATAGACTTGCGGCGCTCCGCGAGCATTTCTCGGATCCGCGCTGCCCCCCCGCCCCCCCCCCTGGCGGCGCCTCCGGCGCCGCCCCTGGCGCGCTCCGCGCGCCGGGGGCGGAGGGAGCGGCAGCGGGAAGAAGGGGGAGCAGGGAAGGAGCACTCGAATTATGTTGCTCCCATCGCACTCCAGGGCCACATCCCAGAAATCAGTTCGAGCACCCAGACAAGTATCGAAACGGCGTCGGGCGAGTAAGACCTCCCAGGGCCCGACGGGTGAAGACCCTCCGGTTTCGGCACTTCCTTGGTGCTCGAAGCTCTTTCTGGCTGCCAAGGCTAAAGTAGTTTGGAACATCATAACACTCGAGGTAAGAACCCCCCCCCCACAAAAAAAAACCTTATAAAATACAAAACAAAAACAAACAACAAAACAAAACAAAACAAAAAAAAAAAAAAAAAAAAAAAAAAAAAATCGGCGCTCCGCGCGGATTTCTCGGATCCGCGCTGGCCCCCCTCCCGGCGGCGCCTCCGGCGCCGCCCCTGGGCGCGCTGCGCCCGCCGGGATGAGAGGGGTCCAGTGCAGATCCAAGAAATCCGCGCGGAGCGCCAAGCGTTTGCGCTTATGTTTGTCCTCTCCTGGGCAGGGAAGAAGCACAGAGCGGGAGCAAAAAAGGGAAAGAGAGAGAGAGAGAGAGAATTAGGAGCAGGAGAGGGGGGGCGAGGAGCCAAGGGAGAGGGGGGGAGGGAGGGGAGACGCGCTCTGATACCGAGGTGCTCCGCTGTCGGCGGTGCCGTCCCAGCGCAGTCGGCTTCAGGGCTTCTGGGGCTGCCCGCCTTGCTCGTGGCATCCAAGAGAAGGGGGAGGGCTCAAGGCCGGGCATCCCTTCCCCTTCGAGCCCGACGCGCACGGCCACCCACCCAAGATCCCGCCGCGGAGGCCTGGATACGTCGGCGGGGGCATGACGTGCAACTTCGCTGGCTTGCCTCTGGCCGCAGTCTGGCCGCCCGTGCTGTTGCCCAGGGCTTGGACGGAGTGGAGAACGGTGCTCGTTCGATGGTCGTACCTACAGGGAGCAATCCCGCCCGGGAGGGGAGGGGGGAGTCCAGGAGTCGGCCACTGCCTGCGAAAGCACGGCCAGCATGTGCCTTTGACCCCATCGCCGGCCAGCGGAAGGGGAGGAGGGTCGAATCTCACGGCTCGAGGACATACAAGCCAGCAGCTTCGCGAAGTCGTTCAAAGCCTGCCAGGTTTTCCAGGTACGGCTGCTTCCCGGCAACCTGCGTGAACAAGTCCTGGGAATTGAGCATCACGTCCGTGGCCTCGTCCTTGTTGTGATGTAGCTGTTGATGCTCGGTCATAGTCTGCCCCTGCTCGGCAATGTGCTGACCAAAGTGCGACTGCAAGTCCATATATTGCGAAGGCCTTACGGCCGGTGCCGCCGACCCTGAAGACGACGAAGGGGGAAAAGGAGGAGGAGGCAGAGGAGGTACCCCCCCGCCGGATATCCGGGTGGGACTCCCCCCACCCCCGCCCCACCCCTCGCCCGAAGGGAGCTGCCCGGGTGCTCCCCCTCCCCGGGCATTCGGGTGGGACCCCCCCCACCCACCCACCCACCCACCCCAGGGGAGGGGATAAAAGGGAAAGAGCTTCCCTTCGAGTAACTACGGCGTTGCTCAGATTGGCTTCCCCCCGCGTTGCGGCCGCTCCCCTCTCCCGAAGGAGCTGCCCGGGTGTTCCCCCCCCCCCCCCCCCCGGGTATCCGGGTGGGTGTGACCCCCCCCACCCCCCCACCCCACCCGGGGGAGGGGATAAGAGAAGGGGCTTTCCTTCGAGTAATTACGACGTTGCTCACATTGGCTTCCCCCCCGCGTCGCGGCCGCTTCCCTCGCCCGGGGGGAGCCGACCACCCCTCTTGGAGCCGACGTGACGATCTCGTGGGCAGTGTGGGCGACGACGACGACGACGGCGGCGACGACGACGACGACGACGACGACGACGACCCACGCAAGATGACGAGATCAGGATACGTCTTCCACACGCCGACAGGGTCGGTGGACTTTGCGTGAACTCGACGCGAGCTCCCGCATATGAGCGCTGTGCTGCTGCTGGATATGGTTGAACTGTCCCGCATAAGCTGCTGGGCCTGCTCGATCTTCTCGGTGGGTCCCTCGAGTTCCGCAGAGTTCTCGGCCTGAGCTGCCTTGATGTCCTCCCTGCCCGTGACACCATTATCTCCACCAGCCTGTTCAGGTTGGGCGCAATGGGGGGCGCTACTTCTCAGGCTTCACAAACATTTCTTGAATGGCATTCAGAAGGTCCACATCTGGCTGGCCTGCCGCATTGCGCAGCGGACCGGCACCGACGAGCCTCGCTGCCACATCAGCGGCGCCACTTTCTTTCAGGATGGACTTTGCCCAAAGGGACGCTGGGCCCATTGTAGGTACGGCTGGACCGAGGTAAAACATCGAGGTCGGTTCGGGGAGGATACACTAATGTTATTCGTGGTTGTTGGATGTTCTTGTGCATCCTGGGGAGGGTACCCTTGGATGGTCTGTGTATTTTGGCCAGCGGAGGGTCTCACGTTCTTGCAGAATGTTCTTCTGTCCCAGTCCGACCGTTGGCGCTCTCCTTTGACTCTCGCTGGGCAGGACGTTCCAATGACAAAGAGGGCCGTCGCGCCCCGCGTCGCCCCCCGCCCCCACCCCCTTGTTCGGCACCAGAGGGACGGGCGGTCGGACTCAGCATGAAGGGGTTAATCCGATGCGGCCGTTGGGGAGGAGGAGGAGGAGGAGGAGGAGGAGGAGGAAGAGGAGGAGGAGGAGCAGGAGCAGGAGCAGGAGCAGGCGCAGGAGCAGGAGCAGGAGCAGGAGCAGGAGGAGGAGGAGGAGGAGGAGGAGGACGAGGAAGAGGAGGAGGAGGAGCAGGGGTGAGAGAGAAGTTGAGAAGGGTGGGGGAGGAGGCAAGGAGGGAGAGAGGGAGGAGGAGGAGCAGGAGCAGGAGTGAGAGGGAAGGGGAGAAGGGTGGGGGAGGAGGCAAGGAGGGAGGGAGCAGGAGGGAGGAGGAGGAGGAGGAGGAGGAGGGAGATGGGAGGAGGAAAGACTACGAGAAGGAAGAGGATAGCCTACAGGATACTCGAGTGGTGCATACACGGGATGCTCCAGCGGACTAGGCCACACCTGGGAGAGTCGAAACCAACCCAGGCATTGCTGGGGCCAGATCACTCCTTCCCTCGCCGCTGGCGGCATCTGGCGGCCTCAGCCGGACGGCCGCTCGAGTCCTCAGTTTAGGCACCGAGGGTAGGGCTCCCTCGCCCGCCCGCAGAGGCGGTGAACTCCGTGGGCTCCACGTTCCAGTGCGCTGCAACCGCCCGCAGCTCCGCCATGGCCGCGGGTACGTAGAGCTGCCGAGGGCGCGAGCTTCTCCAGGTTGGGCGAGCATGGGCCCCACTGCGGCACCATCCATGCACACCGAGAACGCCACGCAGTGGCCCGCCTTCGTGTGGAGAGTCGTCGCCGCGAGGCCCTTGAGCGAGTCCTCTCTGCCGCTGCCCTTCGCGATCGCAATCACGGTGCTCGAAGGAAGTGGCCTGGTGCCCGCGCCGCGCCGCCGCCGGCTCGCCACCGCTGCTGCCTCTGGCGCTCCTCCCCGTCATCAGGCTTCTGCTGACGGAGCGTCTGCGGTGACACATCTCCCATGCCAGGAGGGTTGCCGTGGCCGTGGTCTCCCAGCCATCATTGCGGGCCCCAAGAATATACACCGCCAAGTCGATTCCTCCCCCTCCTCCACCCTCATCTTCCTTTTCCTCTTTCCTAGGAGAGGGAGGGGATGAGGGAGGTGGTGGTGGTATATACCTTTGGGCCCTGTAATCATGGTCCAAAGCACTGATCAGTGTGTTGCGCCCCGCTGCAGGCACGTGCGTCTCGCACAAGGCCGCCACTCCCGCGGCCTCGCTGCTGCAGCTCAGGCCGCTGATGAAGCGATGGGCCTGGGGCCGATGCTGCCGAAGACGAACGATGTGGTGATCGGCGTCACCCGCGCACCGCTGGAGCCCGCCCAGGCACCAGCAGAGCCAGCAGCAGCCGCAGCGCTGCCTTTGCCGTTGACCCTGCCGCTGCCGACGGCGGTAGTGGCCTCGGCGCGGGCGGCCTCTTGCTTGTCCTTCCTGCACCAGAAGGCGGCCTCGCTGCGAGGCGTGGACGCTGGTGCTGCCGCTGCCGCGGCTGCAGCAGCGGGGCCTCCAGCTGCACCCTGCGACTCCTCGTTGGCTGCGGGGCTTGGCGCCGGCGCCGGCGACGGCAACGCCCTCGAC